GCATTATCAGAGGAAGAGGCCGGTGAACTCAGGAAAGATTCTCTGGGTAGAACTGTGGGCTGGTGGCCCAAGGCAGGGAGCCTCTGCCAGCGTCCCCTCCGGCTTGGAGATGGTCCATGCTTGGCCTCAGCTGACCAAACTCTCCCACCACCTCGCTTGGCTCCCTGGGCACTCTGCTTTCCTGCCCTTGGCTTGCAGCACCCCCAGCCACCCGCAGGAGCCACCTTGAAGAAGGAGGGGTCCCAGGTGGAGTGACTTCGCTCCCTTGTCGGGGATTGGCTGGCCAGGCGGCCCTGTGTGTCAGATCACAGCAAGGCTGGGCAGGGGTGTGGGTAGGCGAGGCTTCTCCCAGAACTGCCACTGAGGTGCCTGTGCTCAGTCACAAGAATGCTCAACATGGTGAGTGTGGCCTGTTCCCCTCTCATCCCAAGATGCTGCCTCTGCTGTCCTGCCTATCCTGCCTGTTCTGCCTGCCGGGCCGGGCTGGGGCTCCCAGGTGGCAGCCCTCCTCCCTGGACAGGGGTGGCTAACGTGTCTCTGCCTGAATCCTGCACTGTTTGGGCTGCACAAGGTTCACCTGCATTGTGTTGTGCTATTACTTACATAGATTTGGGAGGAAAATCGATCTTTTCTTGAAGTGGGGAAATGAAGGGCTTAAGGTGCCATTTTAAACACCAGAAAGGGCAGGGCTCTTAGTGGAGATGCATTTTTTTTTTTTTTTTGAGATGGAGTCTAGAGTGCAGTGGCCCAATCTCGGCTCACTGCAACCTCTGCCTCCAGGGTTCAAACAAATTCCCCTGCCTCAGCCTCCCAAGTAGCTGGGACTACAGGTGCACGCTACCATGCCCGTCTAATTTTTTTGTATTTTAGTAGAAATGGGGGTTTCACCATGTTGGTCAGGAAGGTCGCCATCTCCTGACCTCATGATCCACCCACCTCAGCCTCACAAATTGCTGGGATTACAGGCGTGAGCCACCGCGCCCAGTCACAAGATGCATTTTTTATACCTGCCACTTTGCTTCATCTGTCGCCTTCACAGCTCCTAAGGGAATTGGAGCTTGTGCCGCCACTGCTGCAGAGGATTAAGGGGTTTCACTCTGGGGGCTCCAGAAGCTGCAAGCCAGAGTGTTTTTGGCTGCTTGAGCAAAGGATAAGACCTGCACTTCCCTGCTTGGTCCTCAGCCCTGAACATGGCAACCGACTGCTCCATGAGCTGCTGACTGTGGGTTTCTGAGTGCGGGGCGGGGATGCCATGCCTCCCTTTCCTGCTCACCTGTGTTTTCTGTACAAACCCGTACAGTAGTCAAATAAGGGAAATGAACAAAGGGTATGTGAAAAAATATAAGGACCAAATTTTATAGCTTTGGTTTTTGTGGAAACTCTGAAAGAAAAATTGTCAATATTGAGGAAAAGGCTTCAGAGGCAAACTTCCGAGGGGCATTTTTTATTATAAATTTAATATGGTTGATTAATGAAAAATCACAATGAAGTACCAAGAAAATGTTTGTCAATATAAAAATTTTAGCAGCATTTCCATAGTTTCAGGCTCCAACATTAGTCGTACTTCCTCCCTCCCGCTATCAAAAAAGAAGAGACTCCAATGGGATAGAGTAGAGCCTGGGGATGTCCAGCTTTGTGTGGGCCTCAGAGAAATACTCCATCCAGCGTCCAGGATTTCCCCTCCCTCCCATCCCTGAACTGCTAGAATGTCAAAGCACAGAAAAAGCCTCCTTTGTGCTGACATTTGAGACAAGGATCCATTCTTCGGGCTGCCGGGAGAATTGGGATGAAAACTGACCCTGGACTTGACATGTAGTGCTCAGCCGCACACCCTCACCAACACCTGTGCATTCTCTACTCTGATGACAAGGAAAGGCCACTGCAGGGCGGGCGGGATCTGGGGTGTGGTGGCGGCGGTGGCACTGCTGGTGGGAGCCACGGCGTGGTGCATGCTGGGTGACGGTGTCACCGCCACACGCTGCTCCGGGGCAGGCATGATCAGTGAGGGTGGGAGACAGACAATGTGAAAATGTAACACTGGCCAACGATTCCCCTGCTTCTTTGGTACTTTCCAAAATTCTCTGATCAAAAAAGTATAAGGGAAGCACACCATTAAAAAATTACAGTTTTACGTATTTACAAAAGCAATGATGATATATTACACAAGAATCAATACACAATATATGAACAAATCTTCAGTGAAAGCACTTGTGAGCTCCCATCCCGCTGGCATCCCATGGCACGCGGCCTCTGCAGGGTCGTGTCGCCTGTCCTGAAGCTCATCACCTTATAGTATATTAGAAGGGAAAAACATCATTTGGAAAAAAATCATTTTCCAATCTACTCTTTCCTTTTAAAAGGCTTAACATTTGCCATCGAAATAGTTATGTACAAGATTTACTGAATATTGACTTCTAGGCAATGATTTCCACTTCCAACTTGAATATGTTTGAAATAACGCTGCCTATTCTATGGATACAATAGATATTTAATACATAAGTAACTGCACCACATTATATCACCAGGATACCAGTTTAATACATATTATTATGTACAGTAGTTAAGTTAGCTCGAGAAGGTGAGTCTCCGCAGCCCGGGTGAACGGTGTGGGATGGAGCCTCCTGGAAGGGAGGCAGAGAGCTGGTCATGAGAGCCGTGCAAGGCCAGGATGGGTATGTGTGGCACGAGGGCACGTGTTTCCCACACGCCCACACCAGACCATCCCTTTAGCTGTTTGCAGCTGGAAGAAGACAAATCACACATATGGAAGGATCCCATACATGAGAAGAGCCATGACAGCAGCGCTGAACAGCCCAGCCACAGGGACGGTCACGAACCAGGCCACAAAGATGTTCCGAAAAAGGCGCCAGTCCACAGCCTTGCGGGAGCGGATCCAGCCCACGGCCACCACCGAGCCCACCTGTGGGAGTACAGACATTGCAAAGTAAGAACAGGTGAGCCACAAAGGCTATACTCAACCAAGGTACGTGGGCTAATCTCAGAAACAAGCTCTACTACAACATTACCCAGTCCCCTACGTTTGTTAAAGCTTGTAAAATAGCTTAGATTTTAGGTAGAATTGTTTGGGTATTCTTCTCTTCAGCATATAGCTCTTTATATAGTTTTTATATAGTTGTTTTGAGACAGAGTCTCATTCTGTCTCCCAGGCTGGAGTGCAGTGGCGTGATCTCAGCTTACTGCAACCTCTATCTCCCAGGTTCAAGCAATTCTCCTGCCTTAGCGTCCTGAGCAGCTGGGATTACAGGTGTGCGCCACCACCCTCAGCTAATTTTCATATTTTTAGTAGAGACGGAGTTTCACCATGTTGGCCACGCTGATCTCAAACTCCTCACCTCAAGTGACCCTCCCTCCTCGGCCTCCCAAAGTGCTGAAGTGCAGTGGTGCAATCTCAGCTCACTGCAACCTCCGTCTCCCAGGTGCAAGTGATTCTCCTGTCTCAGCCTCCTGAGTAGCTGGGATTACAGGCAAGCGCCACCACATCCAGCTAATTTTCATATTTTTTAGTAGAGATGGGGTTTTGTCATGTTGGTCAGGCTGGTCTCAAACTCCTGGCCTCAAGTGATCAGCCTGCCTCGACCTCCCAAAGTGCTGAGATTACAGGTGTGAGCCACTGTGCCCAGGCTGGATTTTGGCTTTAAAAATAATATTCCCGGCCAGGCGCAGTGGCTCACGCCTGTAACCCCAGCACTTTGGGAGGCCGAGGTGGGCGAATCACGAGGTCAGGAGATCGAGACCATCCTAATACGAGACCACCGTATTAGCCTAATTACCATTAGGCTAATACGGTGAAAACTTGTCTCTACTAAAAATACAAAAAATTAGCCAGGCGTGGTGGTGGGCGCCTGTAGTCCTGCACTCCAGCCTGGGCGACACAGCAAGACTCTTGTCTCAAAAAAAAAATTCCCTGAAATCGACTGTAGTTAACAGGGAACATTTAAAATGTATCTTGAAATAATTTGAAACTTAGAGAAAAGCTGCAAGAACTCCTGTTTTCTCTTTACCCAAATTCACTAATTTTTGACATTTGCCACAATCTCTGAAGAGACATTTTAATATGATTAAAATATCCTGCATCTTATCAAACCTCACTTTCCCCTTCTGCTAAAGATTTCACAATCCAATGTTTATGATGATGGCTACAAAATGGTGATTTACCAGACTGGGCGTGGTGGCTCATGCCTGTAATTCCAGCACTTCAGGAGGCCGAGGTGGGCGGATCACTTGAGGTCAGGAGTTCGAGACCAGCCTGACCAACATGGTGAAACCCCATCTCTACTAAAAATACAAAAATTAGCCGGGTGTGGTGGTGCACACCTGGAATCCCAGCTACTTGCAGTGAGCCAAGATCGCGATACTGCACTCCAGCCTGGGCAACAGAATGAGACTCAGTCTCAAAAAAGTAAAATAAAAAGAAATAAAATAAAATAAAATGGTGATTTACCAAACTCCATTCCAATTTCTCACATGGAGTTCTACTTCAAGGAAGAGCTCTTTCCTCTCCCAACATGTTTTAGGATCTTAATACCTAATGACAAATAGTTTTATAAACAGCTGTAAATGTAGTGTCATCCATAATCTGTGAATATCAGCACATGATAAATATCATGTAAGTTGTTCTTTTTTTGGCTAATTAACCAGCAAAAAGATGCACTGTTGCTGCTTTAATTTGCATATCTTTAATAACAATTAAGGCTGAACTTTTAAAAATATATTTACTGAATTTCACTCTCTCTTGCTTTCACATATACAAATTGTCGGCCAGGCGCAGTGGCTCACACCTGTAATCCCAGCACTTTGGGAGGCCAAGGCGGGCGGATACGAGGTCAGAAGATCGAGACCATCCTGGCTAACATGATGAAACCCTGTCTCTACCAAAAATACAAAAAATTAGCTGGGCATGGTGGCACACACCTGTAGTCCCAGCTACTCAGAAGGCTGAGGCAGGAGAATCGCTTGAACCTGGGAGGTGGAGGTTGCAGTGAGCCGAGATTGTGCCACTGCACTCCAGCCTGGGCAACAGAGTGAGGCTTCGTCTCAAAAAAAAAAAAAAAAAAAAATTGTCTCTTCATGTATTTTGTCCATTTACATAAAATCTAATGTGTTCCTTATTTATGTGTAGTCTTCACTGAATAATGATATTAACTCTGTGATATCGAATACACATATTTTCTCTAGGTAGTATTTTGCTTTGTTTCACTTTCAAGTTTCTAACTTCATGCAGTAAAATATGCTATAATTTTCTTCTGTGATTTATCTTTGGCTTGAATATTTGATAAATATTTAATTCCATTTTATTTTTCTAAAATAAAGTTCCATTTTACTCTAAATTTAAGAATATTTTTAAAATATTATTTAAGCCATCAGATTTACATTCATGTATTTTGAGAGTGGTCTAATTTTGTTTTTCTAGACTGACAGTCAGCTATCCAACCTTTCAAACACTTACTGGTTAAATTTTCCCTTTTTCAAAATATATGCTCATATGGAACAGGTTCCATCCATTGCTATCTACTCTGTTCTTATCCAGGTATCTACTTTTAAAAATTGTTGTGGTAAAATATACATAACATAAAACTTACAGTTTTAGTAATTTTTCAGCATACCATTTAGAGGCATTAAGTACAATCACATTGTTTTGCAGACCATCTCCACAATCCGTCTCCAGAACCTTATCCATCATCCCACATGGAAACTGCCCCATAAAACACTAATGCCCAGTTCCCAACCCCTCCTCCCAGGACCTACTCTTGACTTTTGTTTCCTTATATGACATTACATGTCAGGTAAGGCTAGTTCCTCCTTTCACTTTTCTTGTTAGATCATTTTATATTGCTGATAATTTATTTCACCAAAATGTATTCTTTAGTCTCATTTTGTAAAGTTCCAAGTAAAATCCTGTTCAGGATGTATTTAGGGAGAAGTGACTTCATTACAACATCTGGTTTTCCTATCCAATAGCATGTTACGTCTCATATTCAGATTATCTTTTTATACCTCTGAGCAGTTTTATGTCTCTTCCATATATATCACTCACATTTCTTCTTTAAAAAATTATTTATTTAGTTATTTAGAGATGGGGTCTTACTATGTTGCCTAGACTGGTCTTGAACTCCTGGGTTCGGGCTGTCCTCGTGCCCTCAGCCTCCTGAGTAGCTGGGACTACAGGAACACACCACTGTACCTGGTGCCACTCACAGTGCTTATGAGGATAATTCTGAGATACCTTTTATTTTTGCTGCAATTATGATGGCAGTTTTTTTCCCTTCCGTTACATTTTCTTATTGGCTATTGTTGATGAATAAGTGCTGGATTTTTCTATTTTTATCTTGGACTTGGTCACTCTTATGAACTCTAGTAGTGTTTTAGAAATACTGAATATTGGCCGGCCACGGTGGCTCACGCCTGTAATCCCAGCACTTTGGGAGGCCGAGGTGGGGAGACCACCTGAGGTCGGGAGTTCAAGACCAGCCTGACCAACATGGAGAAACCCTGTCTCTACTAAAAATACAAAATTAGCTGGGTGTGGTGCCGCACACCTGTAATCCCAGCTACTTGGGAGGCTGAGGGAGGAGAATTGCTTGAACCTGGGAGGCAGAGGTTGCGGTGAGCCAAGATCATGTCATTGCACCCCAGCCTGGGCAACAAGAGTGAAATGCTGTCTCAAAAAAAAAGAAAGAAAAGAAAAAAAGAAAAATTGAGTATCATCAAATGTCTTTTTGGCTTATATCTCAACAGACATCTTTTTTTTTTTTTTCTTTTTAAGTGGATTGCTAAGGCATATTATACTGAAGCTGCTCATATACCCATCTTGAGCCCCTGCAAGGGCCTAGCCCTGCACAGGCGCTGGTGGTGAGTGATGCAGCCCTGCCCTGTCACGAAGGGAGCCCACTTTCTGGTAATCTTGATCAATTTGGTCCTGCTGAAAGGTTCTTGTATAGTATTGTTTTGTTTTGAGACGGAGTCTTGCTCTGTCGCCCAGGCTGAAGTGCAGTGGCATGATCTCAGCTCACTGCAACCTCTATCTCCTGGGTTCAAGCAATTCTCCTGCCTCAGCCTCCCTAGTAGCTGGGATTATAGGCGTCCGCCACCACACCTGGCTAATTTTTGTATTTTTAGTAGAGATAGGGTTTTGCCATGTTGGCCAGGCTGGTCTTGAACTCCTGACCTCATGTGATCTGCCCACCTCAACCTCCAAAAGTGCTGGAATTACAGGCGTGAGCACCACGCCCAGCCAAATATTGTTGATGTCATTTATCAGCATCTTGCTTAAAGTTTTTATAATCAATATTCATCAGTAAACAGAGATATCATTGTGATATTTTAAATTAGGATTGGTATTAGGGTTATTCAGTGTACGCCATAGCACAAATGGGAGAGGTTTTCTAGTTTTGTTTTTCCTCCTACATGGTGGGAAAGTTTAGATTGTGTGAGACCTGCTTTTTTTGTTTAAGTGGAAAAGATTCTAATTAATTCATCTAGTCAGCAGTATCCTCACCCACCCCACCCCTGGCAACTTTTTGCTTTTTTAGGTGAGAACAGTTATTTTTGGAGAACTCCCTTAATTTCATCCTATTGTTCTGGGTCAGATTTTCCACTTTTTTCTACTTCTTAGGCCAATATTTCTTTGTCATGTATATTGTTGCAGAAAATAATTCACAGGGGTTTTCAAATTCTTAGCATATAGCTGTGTGGTTTATTTAATAATGGAAACAATGGTCTTCTCTATCTGTCATCACAATGTCCTCCTCCTTCCCCCACTTAATTCCCTCCCTCTTTTCCTTGATGTGATCTGATATTTTATTAGCAGCCACTTTCCTCTCCCCTTATTTTGTTTTTACTTAATTTTGCTTCTATATTTCTTACAACCTGTTTCCTCAATTTTTACTGTCCTGGACTTTT